CACGATAGCAAATATAGCCAACCGTGCCATATGTATCTTCCTATCTCTCGCAGGTGACAGGAAATCACCTGACTTCTACCGTGTTTAAGCAGGGCTAAGCACTACACGAGCCCTGAGCTACATAGGATTCGTGGTATCAATATCGGACAAGGATTGGATAACCAATGCAAAGCAAGTGTTTGCATCCAACACCTAAACTTAATGCAACAATATATATATGTAACAATAATACTTTTTAAGCGCATTTCGGAAATTAGGAGGCTTAATATGCTATAGGGGCTTGCACAGGATTCGACACAAGTCGGTGTTAGGTAGACGACACTCGCTAAGTGAGCATCTCCCGTCCTAGCACTTGTCCAGTCCTTCCACCTTCGGGATAGGTCCACCATACACCGTCTTCGGGTTCGGTTCCAACATCTCATCCCTCACGTGGTGCATCTAGCGTACCTAGATGAGATGCAAGATGCAAGTGCATAAATATGAAGAATAGCACCATGAGACGCATCACAAAATAGCAAGCAAGACAAGCATAGTTTGCACTAACACACTTAAGTACTTTGCGATGCTTAACTTAACATCACACAATCTATCATGCTAAGATAACAAAGAATATTATACAAGGCACATAAGTCTCACAAGATCTCATGTGTATTTAACTTAATTACTAAGGACGTGAACCACACCTAGCAACATGCAAAGCAAGTCAAGGGGAAGCAACAACTATAACCGGAATATGCAAATTTCTAGACTTGCAAACAGCGGCTTCATAAATCAATCATATCTGGAGTTTTATAAATCCAAATGATATGAAACAAGACATTCTGGAAAGCTTAGGAAATTATCCACATTTCATCTTTAATCATCTCAGCATGATTCCCAAGTTATCATGACCAAACATGCTAATCTTTTAAGTCTGCGCAGAATGTAATCAAAATCTGACAGTAGACTTATTAAGCATGCAACTCCTAAACTATCAGACCTAGGATCATGAAAATTTAACACAAGCAAGATAAGATAATCATCTACGACTTTTGTATTTACCAAAACTACAGTAAACATCATTTACACCATGAAACTAGTTGCACAAGTAACACTTGCACCAGCAGCCTAAACAGCAGAGGCACAGCTATGGACAGAAAACTTATAGGAACTTTAGAGAAGCATAAATGGAGTTCTAGACCTCCGACAAACATGATTCTTAACTTTATGGAAAGCTTATAAAGTTACCTACAACTTTCTTATTATCATCTTAAGATGATTTCATAGTTAACAAGGTCAATTAAACCAAGGAAGACATCTATATCCAAAACATGAACAGAAATTGATATGCTACTTTAAACAGCTATAAGTTGAGTTCCACATGTCCAATAATTATGGTTCTGGAATTTTTGGAAAGCTTAACAAATTTTGAACAACTTTGCTATAAACATCTAGAACTAATTCTGCTACTAACAAGGTCACACATGGCACACAAAGCAACCCTGTCTGGGTTTGGGCAGAAACTGCCACAGTACTTTAAACAACTATAGCTAAACACATACTTAACCAAAAATTGTGCTCTTTAGCTTTTTGAAAAGCTTATGAAAATTACTACAACTCATTTATTATCCACAAGGCATGATTCATAACTTAACTGAGCCAAACAATGCATACATGCAGAACTGTCCAGAATAGAAGCAAAGCAGCATATGTCATTTGTTATTTTTCATATCTCTAAATTGATCAAGCCTAAAATCCTGAAATTTTACCACACATCAAACATCACATGAGTAGCATGCCACAAAAATTTCACTTCATTTGGAGCCCTAGATCTATAGTTATAAAAAGACAAATACCACTAGCATTACAAACCTAGCTGCATAAATATATTTTTACAGCTAAAACTTTAAAGTAAAACATGTAATATTATAGATCTGGTGCATAGAGAATTTCACAAGGATTCCAAAAGTCCACATTTACTATTTTACGATTTTTCTACAAATTACTATGAATTTTCAAAGTTCAGCACAGAAATCTGTAAAAATCAAAAGAAAGGAATTTAAATCTTGCATCGGGGTCCCTGCAGAAAACATAAATTAAATGCTAGCGAACCGGTCCTTGTCAAGACTATTTATAGGAGTCACGGGTTCCACAGTTCAGCCCTCCAACTTCATCAATTCAAGCCCGAGGTCCCCTGTCGCGAGTTGGGAACAGAGGAGGCCGGAGAATCGGCCGGTGGCGGGGAAGGCTCGCCGCCAAGGGGGAATGGTGGGGAAGCACTAGGAGGTTGGTGCGCACTTGTAGGTGGCCGCCTTGACTTGCTCATGGAGGCCGGACGCGGCTCGCCACGTGTGAGCCGATGATGGCCGTCTGGCGTCTCCGGTGGCATGGCTGCTGCTGGGTTGGCTGGGCGGCCCGACGGCGGCGACGGAGAGGTGTGGCGGCGAAGACGTGTGGGCCCCTGCGCGACGGTGCATAAGCTTCGTCGGGGCCCGCGGTGGTTCTGCAGATGGGGCCCGCCACGCATGACCGCCGTTGACATGTGGTGGTGGCGAAATGTCTGATGGGCGCGAGCTCGTGGACTTGTCCGGTAGCTACTGAAGAGAGAGAGGTGGTGGTCGGGGCTCTGGCTCGCCAAGCAGCGGTGTGCTGCACGGGCTGGGCCGGGCGAGCAGTGAGCTGGAGCTCGAGCTTCGCTCGGCGGCAATGGCGGCCATGGCCATGGCATGGCGCCCACGGCAGCAGAGAGGAGGAGGGCGAGTGCGTGCGCGAGGGAGGAGGAGTGGGGAGGCTCGGCGTCCGCTTTGGAGGGGCAGGAGCGCGGCAGACCACGCGGCAGTAGCGCGCGGGAATGGTGGGGGCGCTCTCGGTGCATGGTTGCCACGCCCTGGACACGCGCCGCCCTTTGAGGCATTCTACCGAGCACGTGGCGGGCGACGGTATGGTCGACGTGGGACGCTATTTTGGGCTGTTTCCAGGCCGAATCAGCGAATGGACCAAAAATGAAGTTTGATCTACTACTCATGCTCTCCAACTTTGATTAAGGGTGCTCGGCCATTAGGCTATTGGATCAGCAGATAATTAGTACTAAACTTGGTAGTGTCAGTGATTTGACAGCGACAAGCAAACATTCAAAATTGATGGTCGAAATGAAATGCAATCTGGTGCCATCTTCTTGTATGTTCTTCTCTAATGAAATATCTCCAACTTCTATTTTTGGGCCAACTCAAGTTGCTTAGCAAAATTTGGAGAACGCGGAATGCCAATGGCGACGACGATGAATTTCAGACTTAGAAAAATTCTAAGTCTCTGAAACAATTTATTGATTCAATTTTCGAGCCTCTGTTTGACTTAGTTCCAAGTTGATATGGCTCTTGTTCCAAAAACAAAGTTTGTTCTACATGATATGGACTACAACTTTCATTTAAGGTCCAACCTCAAAACTGGTATAAAACCTACTGTTCTACTTTGACCAAAATAGGATCACGATGAAGCTTATATTATCCTTTTTGATCCATTGGTGCATTTTCTGGCCACCTGCTCAACATGAACCCTTCATAACATTTGTTCATGAGTGCAAGTAGAGTTGTTTGAGCAAGGTACCAAGGTTTGGTTGACTTCATAGGTTTCCATCCACTTGATAAAGCAATTCATGCAAAGATATGACTTATCATTTCATGTGACTTTTTGATTCCAAACTTCATGAAACTTTTCCACGGGTCTAGATGGATGCATGTGGATGTAATGTACATGGAATAAGCATGTTTAACATTACTCTTGCATAATCTTAACAAGGGTCCATATGTAAGCAATTGTGCGTGGCCCAAGTTTAAGTTGGAGCTCCATCATGTAGATTTGATCTTGACACCTTGATTACCACTTGACATGTCATGTTTGAGCTCAAACCTATTTCTTAACTGGTGATAAACACCTGGGGTGTTACAATTATTTATGCAAATTGCAAAGGGGATTACAAGTGGTGTTTCTGAAAAGGAATGCAATGAACGGTTTTAAGCAAAGTAACAATCAAGACTTTAAGGTACGACAATTTTCATATGAATGCCAGATTCAGCAGTTACCGTCAAACGGATCGGCCGCTGACAGATCACTGGCCCGCAAAACATGTATCATATTGTGGTGGCATTGATTCTCTGTGAAAGTAAATGTAGGACCTCTGGAAGACCTCTTGTCCAGCTTGAGCTGTCTCTGCTGCCTTCTTATCCAGTTCTTGTCACGGTAGAAACAACTTGGGACCAAAAAACTCATAGACTCAAGCATTCTTGCATTCTCCACAAAGAATGTCACAAATTCTAATTGTTCTGTTGTGCCCTGATAATTTGTCATCACTATTGTTTTCAGGCAAAGGTCAAGGGATTTGATTAGGTTCCTGTGTTTACGGCGCCAACGGTTCATGCGCCCTCGTGCACGAGACTGGAAGTTAAAATGAGTGTGAAATATTAGTTCGGACCGAGAAATCTGAACAAGGATGGCCACGTCATTATGGAGACCAAATTAACTTTGTATCTGTTTACCATATATGGAAATAAGAAACATTACCAGCTGGATGTACAGCTTCTCCAGGCATGGAAAGCATCTAATGAAATTGAGAACATCATCGAGACAAAAACCAAAAGGGAACACAGATAAAACCTTGACACTATGCATCGGCACCAGTGCTCTCATATCAGCTAAACGTATTCCCTTGGTCAAATAAAACATTTTGTTAGGGAATCATAACAACAAGTTATAAAATAAAATTCTCTGAATGAAGATCAATGGGGGGAACTCAAATGTGACCAATGGAATTTCTATGGCTAGAACAGACTATAAATCGCAATGACGTGGAATACGGAATACAAGCAGCACTTAAGTGTGAACACTGGGAGATGGGAGAAGGCTCTAGTTACCAGAAAAGTCATAGATCCAAGAGTGAGCTTTGTCTTGTTATTATTCTCAAAAATACAGCCAAGGGTTTCCAGCTTTGGTGCTGAGACCACCGATATGTGCAACCTACTATATCGCTAAAAAATGATAAACCTCTCAAGTAATGGGGCATCCTCAATAATGAGCTCCTCTATAATGGGACCTTGTTGAAAAGAACCAGTATGAACACCTACGCTCTTAAGGGATCGGGAATTAATCCGAACACAGCAAAAACCTTCATGGTATTTCATCAGCAAGATCTCGAGTGCAGGGCAACTATCAAGCATGGCATGCAGGGTCTCCTCGGAGATAATAGCATCAAAGAGTGCAAGCTGCTGGAAGTTGGGGAATTGGAGCTTATTGACCATGATATCTGGGAGGCGGCATCCACCAAAGGAGACAATACGGAGTGTGGATGAGAAGCGAAAGATGGATGCTGATGGTGGGGGATATAATGACAATGTAAAGTCAACTTCTGGGATGTGGAACTCAAGATCTTGTAGCCCATTAAGGGTGGGGGACTGAAGCCAAGTAACAACATTGTCAATGTTTGTGCAGAGATAGTGTGAAGGGATGCAAAAGCGTCGGGCAGGTCCGGGGTGAGCATAAAAAATTCTAGAAATGAGGCTCACAAGGTCTTTATCATCGTTGGGATCTTGGAGGTCACAATAGTCAAAATTAAGTGGGGCGGTGAACCAAAGCTGGCTCCACGTAGAAGATAGACACTTTGTACATGCACCATCCATGGTAGGAAGGAGGGAGATAATATCACCTAGGATGTCATTGGGAAGGCCGCTTATATGGTCAACACCGTCTTCATTTCCTTCTTTGGGAGTAGATTCTTTGTGACACGGACCTTGAAATCTCTTCTTCTTTGTATCAGGGGTGTCCTCCATCTTGACTATGCTCCTTAGGAAGGATGAAGTTTTATGGATTTCCTTCAATGGGCTATTTTGACGGATTTGTGCAACATGACTAGGATATGGATCAAGGTTGAGACAAGTCTTCTATCTTGACAACAACACCCTAGAAAGGATGAAGTTTATGGATTTCTTTCTATGGGCTTTGTTTGGATGGGGTCGCGGCCGATCGAACAATAGAGGTGACATGCGTAGAGGCAATGGTGTGGGACAGAGATAGAGAGTACAGTGGCAAGGTAGGCGCCCATTGGTGAGGAGGGGGAGAGGGACTAGGTTAGATAGGGTAAAGGAAAAATTTTACAAATATATAGAGCGAAGCGAGTTAGTGAATAAAGGATGAAGGCATGCTAGTGGGAATGAGGTTTGGGCTGGGGTGAGTGGTGATGGGCTGGTGTGTGGGCCGAAGAAGAACAATAAGAGGATGGGTGTGAGAAATCTTAGTCATTTAATATTGATCCATCGGTTAGAAACTAAGCGATAGAATTTTAGAATCAAACCAATGAAAATAATAGTGCACCTTGCTTTTTGTTGATTTGCTCTTAAGTCTTAATTGTAATTTGGCTATTTGGCAAGCAAGGGCAATAGCAATCATTGCATGTAGCTTTACTACATTCTAACTCTCCAAAGGCGACCAAAAATGCTTGGTAGATGCAGACCAAGACGCCGCCTCTGGATGATGGTCTGTGTTAATCACTAATAACAGACGGTCAAAAGTACACCTGTGAAAATGGTATTTCTAGTTGGTGGATTACAATGCCCGCCTCTAAATTTTTTTTTATAAAAACTAGCTCTAGCTTCTAGAGCTAGTGTGACTACTCCTTGTCTTGCTTCCGATTAGCACCACCGAGTCGCTACTGGTAGGTCCACTGATACCAAGAGCCTCCCCTCGTCAGATGGGACCTATGAGATCGAGAGACAACAAAACTCAAAGATCTTCATGGTGGATCTAGATCTAGCAGATGCAAAACAACAGCCAGATCTGCATGAGCGGGAGACTAGAAGAGATCAAGGGGGAGCACCTGGAATGCCAATTAAGGATCAGATCTAGACAGGGAGAAAGTTGTGCCACCCTTGGCCTCCTCTACAAATAGGGAGCCTGCACTACCCTTGCTGCCCTGAAACCTGCCGGGCCTCCACAACAGCCGTGTCGCCCGAAGCTGGATGTCTTCCTCCACGCACTGCTCAGAGGCTGCTAGTCACCTCTGCGCACCCTGCCCATAGCCCACCGGTCTCCACAAACGTGCCACATGCCACCCTCACATGTGTTGCTTGGAGCCAGTTAGTTTCCTCTACGCTCAGATAGCCCGGATCCCCCAGCCTCCTCCACCCTCAGTCTCATCTCCTATCACCATGAGAAATAGAAGGGAGAGATTTAGATACGCACAGGGAAAATTAAAGAGAGGAGAGAGTGAAGGAGATGGAAAGAGGAGACAGAGAGAGATGATAGATATTCTCAACTACTACGACTCTCCTCCATGCCTCCAAGCATGGGTCTCCTCCGCGTCATTGATTTGTCAACCATAGGCCTCCATGCTCACACTAAGATCTTGTCATCCCTCAGCTTCCATGCACGCAATTGATTTGTAGAGTCATCAGAGTTTCTAGTGCGCATCACCAGACTTTTCTGGTGATGGACAGAGTTCTCGGGTGCCTACACCCGATATGTTCCGGGGGACATCGGAATAACCTAGTGCCCCTCACCGTAGAGTCACCGGAAAATGCGTATAGTCGTTGGAACCTCCAACGGCTAGTTTGACTCAGACAGAGCGTGTGCGTGGCCACCTAAATTGTCTAGTGGTGCACATTATGTTGCACCAAAGATAGCGCTACAGGTTTAGACTTCACATTGAATCTAAGCCATTAGTTTGAGCGTCGCTTGCTCCGGTGGTGCCTGTCTGGTGGGCACACCTGACTCTACCGGTGCCTACCTCTAGATGTACAGCCTACCATCAAGAGCCTGTGACGGCTAGTTTTTGGGAGCTCTATAAATGCAAGTTGGCTGGCTCTTGGAGGATTGGGAGAGATCTAGTGCATTTGCCTAGTTGATTTGCATTTACTAGAATTAGTTCATCATTTGGGCTGCGGATTTTTTGTTACTATTGGTTATTGACGCCACTTAGATGGCTTAGAGCAGCGGTGATCACTGAGGGGTGTGTTCGTGATTGTTTTGGCCTCCGGTCAGTGATTTGTGAGTGGTTTTGATCCCACCTCGTGGAGATTGCAAAGGGATACTCTGGTGGAATGTGCGTGCCTAGTTGGAGTCATCGTTGTGTTTGATTATTGCGGCACCCCAAGTTGTGGGTATAGCTTGAGCATCTAGTTAGTGCACGAATCACTCATCTTAAGACTCGCCACAACGAGGACATAGATTGTCGGTAAGCCACCGAACCTCGGGACAAATTGATTCTCCCTCTTGCCTAGCTCAGTTCGCTACTACTCACTTGTGCATTAATTTCATTGACCACCCGCTGTGCTTTTTAAAATAATATAATATTCTTACGGTCATGTTCTTGTGCTTACCAGGGAGAAATGCATTTGCTTGAATAAATAAAATATTGTGTTGTGTTCAAATATATTTTGCAATTTTTATGCATGTGTGACTCGATGGAATAAAAAAATTGGGTATGGCTGGATCGCCTGCCGTGTTTTTGTTATTCTTATATGGTTGAGTGATTACCAGGTAAATGCACATTTTTCTTGAATAAAAAAATCACCTATCTGGTCGCTACAAACCTTTTATATAACTATGTTCGTGTCCGTGCGTTGCTACGGGACAGCTAAACTTTTATATAAAAAACACATAAACTTTGCTTTTTGGATTAAATGGTAATTTAACATCGGTATTTAATTTCACAGTATTTTATCTTATCGTGACCTTTCTATAATGTGGCTAAGATAACATTTTAAATCGGCAGGAAGAAATCTCAGATATCTATTTCTTTCGTGCTCCAATAAATGAATACCATAATGGATGAAAAGTACACTACCATCTGGCATGATGCGAGCCGACGATGATTTTATGGGTTTGTTATGCATCAAACCCTCTATCAATTCATTACGCAACAATTCTTTTTCTTTTGATGGATCCGCATCTGGAGAATCCCTTTGAGCCGGCTTGTGAACATCAACCTTTGTCACATTAGTGTTGCCCTTGGCGGTACCGTCCTTCAACTATAAGCCCATTGCACCCTTCCATTCATCCTTGGCAGTGTCTTTCACCACGCTCTCGTCTTCCTTATACTCTGCATGGCTCATGTCACCACGGCCGGCTACCTGAGCACTATATATTGCAAACACAAGGGTGTCACATGTAATACAATTCTTTATGATTGTAATCTCCAAACACAAGGACCTAAAAAAAATATCCCTGTTTTACGCGTCCAGCATGAGCTTCTCTTCATAGTGTGTCTGATCGTCTCGGTCACTGCACTCTTTGTGCTCCATATTGGTTGTACCTATATCACCATCTGCGGAAGCCTCTAGTCCTAACAACATCTCCATATCATAGTTTGCCTCCTCACCAGGTGGCTCATCCCTATCATTACCTTGTCCGGTGGGGACATGTTCGTCCATGGTTTTCTGCACACAGTAAATGGAGATAACATAAAGTCATCAACCTAGATCCCAGCGCATAACATAAATTACCAGTTCTTGAGTAGCAGGTGTGTTATGTCGGTGAATAAAAAAACTATGCCTATTCGTTCTCGAGTTGCCAAAATCAGTTTCTCTGATCACACAAACGCAAGATAGGACAAGTACTACATATATGTTGCCTAAATCATTTTCTCTGATCCACACTACAAGCTGATGTTCACTACCAGGTATTGGATAAGCTGAAAATTTCTAATGACACAAAAAGGATCACATTACAGAGACTCTATTGGAAATAATTAAAGAGACCTTGTTGAAAAGCCATTGCAGGGACCATTGAAACTATATTTGGTATTTTTTTTAAAAAAGGATGGATTCATTAGCTTCCAACCAGTAAACCATGCAATGTCAAGAAAACAGGTTCCAAAAAGTGAATCAATGAACATCAGAATATTAGGAGATGATGTGTACCTGTACCCACATGTTGCAAACAATTTATGCAAAGGAAAACATAAAATATGGAGGTATTTCTGTGTTCTTTGTTGTTTCCCAACTGCCAAGGCAGATTAAAATATTTCTGGCAAGAAGGTACTAACTACTCAAAGTCACCACCAGCATAAACGGGGCTCCATCGCCGGAGCCGGAACCGGAGCGGCGGAGCAGCAAATTGTGGCTCCACCTCTGTACACCAAAAAGGGCTCCCGCTCCTCTGTTCGTGGCGCATAAGCGCTCCTCTCATGTCGTTTGGTGCGCCTCCGCTGCCAGAGCTACCGCGGAGCCGGAGCCGAAGTGCGGCCAAACACGCTCTTAGGAAGATCACCTTGCCACTGTTTTCCGTATGCAGCCACACGGAGGGGATTATTAAAATATCATCAGCTACGATCAAATTTAAATGTGCAAGCACTATCACTAATGTAGACACTGACATCACTCTTTGATATCTGCACCAAGCCACCAAACAAAAACTGACAGTAAACATCGCCAAACTAGAAAATATAGCAAGACTACCAAAGTCACCAACCAGTATGCATATAGTCGTTTTGCAATCCCTTCAGATAAAGACGAAGCATTGACTAATGGCTACTCAATTGCTAAAGATATAACAGTATACTTATATATTATAAACAGGAGCATAAGGCAGGCAGTTGCTCCAAGATAAGTGTTCAGGATGAGTTTGACTGAGACAGAAAAAACATTGCAGCATGTCAGCATCTACATTAGTTCTGTCAAAGCACACAGGTTAGTTGTTAGAGTTGTTCTGTGCATGCACAAGCACAACTATGTTCTTTACTGCAGTCAGTTTTTGTTTGAAGCGAGGTGTTCAGACTTCAGCTTAAGCTATTACTGATGATGAATGGCTTTCAACCTCAAGACTGAAGGTCTGT